GTGATCTCATAATCGATTAGTTGCAACTATAGTTGGCAACTAATCGATTGGCGAAATTTTACCAACTCGGAACACTACTCTCATGGTTGTGCACACACAAACTTGTATTTTTTTTTTTTTACAAAACGGGATACTCAATGTTTCACGAAATTGGTTGCGTTGTATATACTATACTACTCTCAAGATGAGATCATGCTCACAGCCATGCTCAACGTAAAAAAAAAATTTAAAGAGGACACAAGTCTGATCTTATATGCTGTTTGGCCTTTGGAGCTTTTTTTTGCATTTTCTTCTCTGTATTTATTAATCTACTTTCTTATTATTCAACAATTTTCTATTTTCTTTCGTCGAATTTTTTACCGAACTGATGAAATGATAATCAGTGATCGTCAAAGACTAAAACGAGAAGGAAGATTTTAACGAAAAAATAGTTCGACGATCACTTCTAATTTTTCCTTGGTCAATTTATTAAATATCTCTGCTAACTTTTAACTCTGTCGTAATCACTAACCCTAACTTAACTGAGTTTAAAGATTTTTTACTGCTTCACAAACGCTACTACGTATCTATACCTTCTTAGTCACGTCACCAAACATTGTATCTTATAGGCGTATTTACCACACATAAATATTCACTTATCAAAACAAAAATCTTTATTGGCCATCGCTATAATTTATTTCCTTTTTTAGCACTTATCAACCACAATAAACACTGTTTTTTTTCCCATATGAAACTCTTCAAAAATGCTAATAATTTAACCATTTATTTAATTAATCATCTGTTACGCGTTTTAATAATGCACTGCCAACCCTTTATTTACATCAAAAAAAAAAAAACTAAGCCTCTTTAATTATTCGGTTAAATACTTGCACATATTCCAAATATAAATTACACATTTATTACTACCACATCCACTCTCGAACTCGATTAAACTATATACCGGTAATAAATTTTACACCAATTCTGCAATTTGATTGGCTGATTTCCGACTATTTGATCATGTGATATTTTCAAATCCGATAACCTCTCAAAACTGATACAGAACCCGTACCGATTTTGAGAGGGCCGACAGTAATTATTTTTATTATTTGTGTTGCGTTTCGCATCTCATCGCTATTGAATACGTACTTAATCATTCCAAAAGCACAATAACGCTAGCATAATACCGAATTTACATTGTAAATCTCAAGATTAATATGGGCTAGGTGCTGAGAAAAGGGACCAAATTGACAAAAAAAAAGATCTTCGGAAAATCAATTATGTTGTAAATCTTATAATAAATCATAAGAAAATGCAAACTTTAAAGAGCTATACCACAAAATTTTATTAATACAATTACTTTGTGTCTTAAGTAAAAAATAATTCTAATCTTATTCTAAATTGATTTATATAAAAAAATATAATTTGAAAAAATTGTCAATTTGGTCCCTTTTCTCAGCACCTAGCCCATATATTCATACTAATCTCTATTAACTTTATTTAACTTTTTAATATCTCTGATATAAAAAATGAAAATGCGAGAGGTCTGATGCAGTTGGTCGAAAACCTTAACGTTAAATTTGATTGAATTTGATCGACAAGGATCAATTTTCCATGCTTGACATGTTTGGAGAAAACTCTAGACTTTCTAGATTTAATACATATATAAAAAGAATGAAATGAGGATGAGAATTCGCTAAAGCCGTGTTATGAATTAATCACTTGATTTTTAATTGGTTTTTTTTTTTTTTACCGTAAAGTTCAAATTAAGACCCAGGCATATTCAATACCATCGTGCGAAAATTCTGACTTATACCCAATAAAAATGAACTCTGTCTAAAGATCGGTTTAAAGTACCCTCCTCTTCGCACAGTACAAATCAAGTTAATTGGGTGTTTTTGATTTATACTCCGTGCTGTGCTCTATTACTATGGCTGTACGGTAGCAACAAAAAGTTAGATTGCATAGCAATGGTAAATTCTAGAAAAAAATCTAAATTGGGTACATATCAGGTTAAGTCGCTAATTTGGTTTTACAAAGCATTATGATCGACAAAATGTTTCAAAAAAAAAATGTAAATCATCCAATAAAATAGTTCCACATAGTAATTTCTTTCTGTATAACCAATCATCCATTGACAAGTGACAAGATTCTTTTTTTATTATCTGTTATAAAACAAGATAAATAAATATAAAAATGGATCATTTGGTTTTTCTCTTCGAAATCAAATTTTTTTTTTAAAAATTCTTTTAATAACCATTTCGTTTTAGCATATAATACATATCACTTAAACAGAAATGAAGTCCAAATTTTGGCTTCTATTAATTTTATCATGTCTAATTGCCTGTTTTATCGATTTTCCTTTCATATTAAAAGAAGTTTCTGCTCAAGATACTAAATCTGAACCATCAAAAGATCCCAGTAACAATGATAGACCTTTTATTACGCAAAAACCGGATGGTTTTGCAATAAGTCCTGACAATGACCAAGATAGCGATAGTAAATCTAATTTTGGTTTTACAAAAGAACAAACCGAAAAACTTAAAGAAACTCAAGAAAAGTATGAATTTCAGGTATTTGTTTTTTTAAAAAATCCTTATATACGTTTGGATTTTCAAATCCAGTTTATGTTGTGTATCTTAAATCTACGATTGAAATTATATTTTGCAGACCGAGGTTAGCCGATTGATGAAACTTATTATAAACTCGTTGTACAAGACACGTGAAATATTTCTTAGAGAACTTATTTCTAACGGTAACAACCAATTCTATTGCTATTTATTATTTTTAGTTCTTTTTAAAATTAATTAATTAATTAATTTATCTATATTATTTTAGCTTCTGATGCAATTGATAAAATAAGATTTCTCTCTCTTACTGATCCTAATGCTTTAAAATCAAATTCCCATCTAAACATCACAATATGGGCTGATCCTGAAAATAGAGTATTAACAATTACTGATAGTGGTATAGGAATGACTCGTCAACAACTTAAAGAAAATTTAGGAACAATTGCAAAATCTGGTACTTCGGAATTTTTAAGTGCTGTAGAAGATAAAAAAGCTGATATGAATTTAATTGGTCAATTTGGTGTCGGTTTTTATTCGGTCTTTTTGGTGGCTGATAAAGTTATTGTTACCACAAAACATAATGATGATGATCAATATATTTGGGAATCTCAAGCTATTAATGATTTTACTATTGCTAAAGATCCTAGAGGAAATACTTTGGGTCGTGGTACTCAAATTAAATTACATCTTAAAGATGATGCCATATCATTTCTTGAAGATGCTTCTATTCGTAACCTCATTTTGAGATATTCCGAATTTATTAACTTTCCTATTTGGTTATGGACAAAAAGATCTGAAACTATTTCTCTTGAAGATGAACCCCTCGAAAAAAGGGATTCTGATGATGAAAAATCAGATTCTGAAGAACCAAAAATTGAAGATGCTTCTGATGATGATGATAAAAAATCTGAACCTAAAACAAAAACAATTGAAGTACCTGGTTGGGAACTTATGAATACTCAAAAACCTATTTGGGCTCGTGATCCAAAAAATGTTTCTGAAATAGAATATGAAAACTTTTATATGTCTTTTTCAAAGGATAATAGTCCTCCTCTAGCTTGGACTCACTTTAAGGTATATACTTATATATTTATTTATTTAAATTTATATATCTATTGATTTATAAATGCGTTATTTTAACTTTTAAATTTTAAATTATCATTAATCAATCTTTTTCTTATTATAGGCTGAAGGTGAAGTTGATTTCAAGGCTATTGTATATATTCCGTCTAAAGCTCCTGATAATTTATTTCAAAAAGTCCAAGATTTTGCACGTAACGTTAAACTTTTTGTTAAACGTGTATTCATCACCGATGAATTTTTGGATTTCGTTCCAAAATACTTAGCTTTCATAAAAGCTATAATTGATGCTGATGATATACCTTTGAATGTTAGTAGAGAAACCTTACAACATCATAGATCTCTCCAATTAATTAAAAAACGAATTGTTAAAAAAACTTTGGAATTAATTGCTGATTTAAAAAATGATGATGTCAAATATACTAAATTCCTTAAAGAGTTTGGAACAAGTTTAAAGGTTGGAGCTATCGAAGACAATGAAAACAGAAAGAAGATCGCTCATTTACTAAAATTCCCAAGTTCTTATAAAGGTTCAAATTGGACTACTATAGATGATTATATTAGTAGAATGAAAAAGGGTCAGGATAAAATGTATTTTATCACTGGTTCTTCTGTTGAAGAAGTTGAAAAATCACCTTTTATCGAAGGTTTTGTGGCAAGAGGTTATGAAGTCTTGTATATGGTTGAACCTATTGATGAAATGTTGGTTCAACATATGCCTGGTCATGGTGGTAAAATGTTTCAAAATATCGCAAAGGGTAACATCAATCTTGGTGATAAAGGCGAAATTGAATCAATGGCTGAATTGAAATTCAAGTTTATTAAATTAACTGAGTGGATGCAAACTATACTTGCTGATCAAGTCGAAAAAAGTTTGTTTATTTTATTTATCATTATTATTTTGTTTTTACCTTTTTTTTTATTTGTTTAATAATAATATATTGATATCATTGTTTAATTTATATTTTGATGAATTTTATTAGTTGACATATCAAAGCGTCTTACTACGTCTCCCTGTGTTGTCGTCGCGAGTGAATGGGGTTGGTCTGGACATATGGAAAGAATGATGGCCGGTAATTCTTTTTGTTTCTATTATCACATTTATATCTTTCAACTTCTCAACTAATAAATTAATTACTGTCAACTCATAAATCAACTAATAAATTTAGCACAACCATTTAAACAAGAGAATGAATTCCTAAAAGAGTTCTATGCAAAACAAAAGAAAATTCTAGAAATTAATCCACATCATCCACTTATGCTTGGATTATTGGATAGAGTCGAAAAAGGCCAAACTGATGAAACTACAAAAGAATTAGTCCAGGTTTTATATGAATCTACATTAATTAGATCCGGTTATGATTTGAAAGATAATTTAAAGTATGTTTTTATAGTGGGATGTCATTTTTGATTTATGTATCTGTAACTTATGTATTGATAAACTGAAATTTCTTTACTAGATATGCGGAAATGGTTGAAAGAGTTTTAAGAAAGAATTTAGGTATAGATCTTAATGCCAAACCTGAAATTGATATTGTACCAGCTGAAGATGCTAAGAAAGAAGAAGATTTGTTTAATGAGTTGGATCGTGATGAACCCCCTGTCAAACCTTCAACTGATGCTGATGATGACTCTACAGATCCAACCAAGCCTTCATATAATCATGATGAACTTTGAAACATAATGTCAGTAAAGTATGGTTTCACATAAGTTACTAGACGTGTTATTTATTTATATGTCACGTAACTTAGGAGTTGATTGTTATGTGTTGTAATGTTATTTCGATAGCTTTATGTAATTTTATTATCATAATGAAGTTCTTAAAATGTTAAATAAAAATTTTATTAATATTGAAAATAATTAATATAGATTTGTGTTTAATGATAAATAACCAGAAATATTATTATAAAAACTATGATTATTCGGAAATCACCGAGTTAATCTTAGCTAGTAAAATCACATGTTCGAGCTTTTTTTGATGGTGATGCTGTGAAAAGGTTATAATGGTCATCAGGAATCGAACATTCCCACTTTTGAGAACCTAAAATTAAAAGAGTAATTAAAACTTTATCAATTAACTAAAAACCGGATATAATAAGTGTAATTATTTACCAAGAATTTGTGCCAATTTAGCAGACGGAGAATTAATTGGCACAGACAGGCTTTTAAAATTAAGCAGTTTACTTGTAAGTTTATCTTTAGGTAAAATTGGTAGTTCGGTCGATATCGTTGGAATAATTGCATCATCAGACTGAAATGCTTTTAATATTGCCAATTCATCTTTATTTTTTGCTGTATTATTAAATACTATATCGTACCATCTCGATAATTCTTTATGGATATCAGATGCAATTTGCCTATTAGAAGGATTAGTGTCCATACATTGATTTGCTAATTGGGTATAACACTCAGGAGTGTCCATTACAACATATTTGAATAGCTAACGCTTCATCATACTCAACATCATAATGAGGAGGTCTTCCCGTAGACATTTCGGCCATAATAAT